GTGTGTTTGTGTGTGTGTGTGTGTGTGTGTGGTGTGTGTGTGTGTGTGTTTGTGTGTGTGTTTGTGTGTGTGTGTGTGTGTGTGTTATGATGTTATTTAAAGCTCTACAAAGAGGATTTTCATTCCTGGCGACGACTGTTTACTCGATATTTCTAACTCAGCTCTCAATTGGAAGTGTTGGTGGATGGTTGGCGGGTGCTCTGGTGTGGTTTGCTTCTTCTTTCCTATCAAACATCTATCGTCCTTATCTCCACTTCTTCCTTTTATGTTCTTTACTCTCTTGTAACAGCTCTAATCTTCTGGCGCTCATATGACCTTATGCAGTTGCGAGCGCCGTAAAACCTTTTAACTAAAACTAAACAGGAAGTGTTGAAAATCGATGTTTGTTTGTTCCCCCCGGGGGCGGTGCTACTGACTGAAGTGTCTTTAGGCCGTTCCCAAAGGGGGGACATTAACATGTTCTTATGCTCAGTAGAATTGTAAATGGGCTGATTCAACAATGTCATGCTCATAACTGTGCCTGAACTGCATACGCGGAACTGCTGCTTAAAAAAAAATCCTTATCCTTACTATCGTCATTTTTTCCTCTACTTCTTTTGTATGTTTGTCACTCTCTTGTGACCCGCTATTTCCGGGGTGCCTTGATAGTCGAAGCAGACTTTGTCGCACTATTGAAGCTAGAGAGGTGAGCAGAGTAAGTCTGATTCCCTGTATGGACTTCTTTGTTGACGTCCATCCCTCGGCGCTCATATGACCTTAATACGCAGCTGCAAACGCCGTAAAAACTCTACTAAAACTAAACAGAAGTTTGTTTGTGTGATCAGAAGCTTGTTCTGGGAAGAGCATCGTCATCTGTGTGGTCAAATCTGTCCCCGTCGTTTTATGCAAGAAAAATTCTGAAATTTAATTATAGGCCTACAAACTGAGCCCAAAAATGTGAAATTATGCGGTTCTGTTAATTTTAACAAAGAACAATAAAGAAAAATAATCAGAAATTTTGCACGAAAGGATCAAATTTTGCTAAATTATGCGGGGTGCATAAATCCACGGGGGCAGGTATTTGAAGGGCCTACAATTGTATACGCTGTTTATGTAATGCACTCACACAAGAGGTATTCAGAAGATTTTTTCTTTGCTTATATTTCTGTACATACAATATTTATTCCAGAAAGGCTCAAAGCACGCTTTACACAATGTGGGGCGTAATCACGGAACGAATAACTGGGAGTCTCTTAACTGGTCACTTTTAAGGACAAGCGGGCTAACCCAGATTTTGGGGGTTTCCAGAAATCTTGACCTACCCCTAAAAGTAGGCATTACCCTACCTATAGGAGAAGTTTTGTTTCATTGGTGTGTATATGTGTTTGGTTAGAGAGAAAACTCGCCTTGTCTTTTTAGGAAACTGAACAAGGGGCAAAAACTTTAACTTCGATTTTCTCAAAACAGCCTTTTTTCGGGATAGCCGCCTTGTGCTTACAAGCGACCAATTAATGTGTTATGTCTTTCATTTTTCTTTCTGCCGTCTTACTTTTGTGCACACTAGTCTCTCTTCCTCCCCGTCTCCGTCATCTCTCTCTCTCTCTCTCTCT